GGGGGCAGGGACCCAGCATCATGAGCGTCAGGGACCCGTGGCATCTTCGGTCACGCAAACTGTTAAAAGGGGCCTTGCATGCGCTTACCCCTAGCTTTCCGAGTGGTCCTGCTGGTTTGCATGTAAGTCGATGACATGACTATGAAATGTAGCTTATGTATGTGTTAACCTAAACAGAGTGTATAAAAAGGCATCTATATATACATATGTATGTAGGTATATGTATCTATGTATCTGCCTGTTTGCCTTTGGCGAACATTGAGACTGCTGCACATGTTTGCACTTGCGAAACTTTGACAACATATATGTGGCCTGTTTTTGCAATGTATTCATTCTACCCGGCCAAAACTGATGGAATCCGTCGGCATCTACACGTGTGAATAAGTCGTTATTTATACGTAGAATCAGCGCTGTCACAAGAGCATGCATGAAATGTAGTACTGCGCGTAGCCATACAATATATTTACATGAACATTTAATTCTATGCTGTCTGGATATATCTGGAAAAGGAATTATGTCTTTACATGCCTGCCTATCTATCTCTGGGCAGAACGGCAGTTGAACATACATACATGTCATGACTGAAGCCAGGCTTACACATGCCGTGGATTTACTGTGAATGTTTGTGCAAATAGCACATGCGGAAATTTTTGACACCATTTATGTAAGGTGTTTATGCTAAAAAAACTCGTCGGTGTATACGCACAAGCAATGCCGCGCGGCAAACGTGAAAGGGGGGGGGGGGGGGCGTTACCATCTGCAACATCTAACACGCGACAAACATGTAAGCTGCGGGAAAGCTTGCTTCTCCAGGGAATTGAGTTTCGGCTGGCTTCTTGGGAGAACGTGGCCCCCAATTGAAGCATTGAATGGATTTGAACTTCCAGGTTCTCTGGAATCGCCTCTTTGATGTGCCAAGAAGCAATCGGACCATGACGCCTTCAAACTGCGCCTTTTCTCCTGGTTTCAAGGGAACACTGAATAAGTGAATAGCGCAGTGGGTGCACCGAGTGCAAGGCTGTCAGATCTGTGAGATGCTTTGCTGAAAGAGAGCAGGCTGCCGCAAGCGTCGATCCATTCCTAAAAGGCGACAAGAAAACACAAAGGACGGCTGCATACAGAAGCTGTCTGTACCTCTGTACCAAAAAAGCACTAAGCGGTTATATATGCATGAGTGTGTAAAGAGAAAAATATATATATATATAATATGCACATGGTGCATCTTACAATGTCTTTCTGTCTTGAGCTTCCGAAACAGGCAGTATCTTTGCGTCAAACTTAACATACATGTACTTACATGTCCATGTAATGCTTACATGCCGAAACATGCGTGCCCCCCGTTCAAATTCCGCAGCATCGCTGTATCCGCACATCTGAGCGTCCATCCAGCTATCCTACACGAGAGAAAGGCATACCTGCACACAAACATGGTGGCGGTGCACAGCAGAACCTCGCTTCACATCGCTATTTTTCTGTGTCTCACGCCCTGTCTGAAGCTCTTGACGAACTGCAACAGAACCGCGCAACACTGGAGCGAGCAAAGACCCAGGACACAGAAGTCCAACCACAAGAGACACCGCTCTCCGAAACAAGCAAGAAGCCAGGACATTAGACTCCGACCGCGCATAAACTAAAACGAAAAGGAGCAAACACAACGCCGGTGGTTACGCAGCAGAACGGCAACCAGGAGCCATCATGAACCTAGGACGCGGAAGTCCGACTGCCAGAGAAAGCGCCGGACTAAACGGCACAGAGTCCGCTGTGACAAAGCAAGCCGACAAACCAGGGACAGGGTGCCCGCGCAAGGCAAAGCAGACCGGAGCAACCGCACAAACCCCAAGGTCGGATTTAGCGGCTCGGGCTTTTGAGGGTTCAGACTTAAACTCAAATGCTGCGTAGTCCAGGATTCTGATGGGAGTCTCTGCAGTTGGGCACTCCACAGATTCTTAATTCTTAGGGGATCCTCTGGGCTTGGTCGCCCAGGGAATCTCCGGGCATTCTTTGCATCCAAGGAATCCAGGGCTTCAAAGGGGATTCTCTGAATGTCTCTGCCTTTGGGCACTCCAGGGATTCTCATGGGTTGCGTGCCGGGAGATAGGGCGAGGAGTAGACCGGAGAATAGCTGAGTTCAAAATCTAACAAGTTAACAAACGTTGGCTTGCTCTGTCTCGTGCAGTCGGACTTCCGTGTCCTGGGCTTCCTGATTGCTCCGGCTTGCTTTGTGTCGTGTGTCCGGGCTTCTTGTTTGCTCCGGTTCGTTTTGTCTTGTGGTAGGAGTCCAATGTCCTAAGTCTGCTTTGCCTGTTGACAGACTCTGGCCCAGTTTTTTGCTGGCGGTTTTGCAGGATCTCAGTTGGACTCCTGTGGCCTTGGGTTTTATTTTGCTGGTTTGTTTTACCTCATTGGGTCGGACTCCTGGGTCCTGGTTGTTCGTTCGCTCGAGTTGCCATGTCTCATGCATCTTATTAGCTCCGGTCTGCATGTTTCTTGCGAGTGGACTCCTGTGTAGTGGGTTCTTGTTTGCTTTCTCTTGCTCTGTCCCATTCGGCCGTCCTTACTTCCTTCGTTGTTGCCGGGTTGCCTTTTGGCACTGGGACATGCAAACGTCTGGCTTTGTTTTCCGTTGATGGGTTATGATTGCATTCTCTGGCATAGGGTCTTCCCACGGTGGTCACCTAATTTGTTCTCCCAACAGGCCCAACAGCTTGGTAACACTGCGTCTGCGTCGAGAAAGACACTGAATTCCGGTGGCCGCATTGCAAGCGCCCAAAGGCGCCACGGTTACTGTGATGCACAGTAAAATTCGCTCTTGTCCCACGGGTCCATTGTACATGAGCCGCGGTTGGGCTTCGAAAACCTTGACGCAGCCTTGGGGAATGAATTTTTGGGTGTCCTACTACCGAATTCCGTCAGCTCAGGCGCTCCCGAATCCTCCTCAATCCCGCCATGTCCTGGTGGTCTACTGGTGGTCCCTTGGTGGTCTCCTGAGTTTCCTCATGTCTAGTGTGGACTCTTGCCAATTAGTCTCCTGAGCTGCGTGGTGGTCGTAGTGGCCGTGGTCGTTATGGTCGTCGAGGAGTTTCGTCATATTTTTTGCTGATCGGCGCGGGGATAAACTTTGAGTTTTCACGTCTAAGGTGCCTAGGACATGAATAATTAGTTCTTTGTACACCGTACATCTTTTGATGGTGGGTCTTGCCAAGGCAGCAGTCCGTTTTTGCTGCCCGGATTTAGGGAGCTGTTGTGTTCAACGCCAGTTCCCTGGTCTCGGCATCTCTCCTGAACTCCGAAGGATACGGCTTCCACTTCCACGTCCCAAACGGAACCCATTGTCCAATTTCTTGTCTGCCCTCCCCCTTCAAGCCTGTGGCATCTTCCGAGACAATGGGAAGTCCAGTTAAGACCGAACACCTTTCACAACCCCGACCAGGTTCACGGGGGTTTATTGATGCTGACAGTATCTCTATGTCCAGTATGCATGTGCATAATATATGTATGTGTGCATGCATGCACACACACACACACATATATATATATATATAGAGAGAGAGATGGATGTCTATATCCTTCGTTCTTATTTATATACATAAGCATAATGATAATATATGTATATTCACATTCGAATATACATATAGAGATGCGGCTATGTAGATAGTCGAGGCCGACTCCTTGCTCTTTCGAGGCTCTGCGCTCATGGTGTGCATTGCTTTGGCAGACTCAATGTAGCGCTGGTAAGCTTGCTGACATCGAAAGACCAAAGTGAAGCTCAGGACCAAGCCTGGAACAGAAGGAAATTACCCGCTGAATGCTTCACCATGTAGGGCGGTCCACTAAGTATCGAACTAAAGGCACCGTACACAGAGCCGTCTGTGATCAAATCAAGATCATCGAGACCTGCGTCGGCCATAAGCAATGTAGCCGCCAGTAACGCCGCTTTTTACGGAGCGAAACAAGTCGCATCTGGGACTCCAGCTGATCTGCTCGGCTTGAACCAGGGCTTTCAGGACTATGACTGCGATGACGAAAGGAAGAGCTATCAAGGTCGCCTGAAAAAGCAGGCAAAGAGAGATCTTAAATCGAGCTCTTCTTTGTACCTCCTTGGAGCGGCCTTCGGGAAGACGCTGCCATGGTATTTGCAAGAGAGGGATAAGATACTCTTGTTGTCATAGAGGATCATGGGGCAGGACCATTGTCGCTGCCCAAAGAAAACGGGGACGGGGGGGGGCGAGCTCGAAGCCAGAAGCTGCAATCCGAACACCGAACTTTCCTGCAGTACTTCCATGCTTTGGGCACGCACACACACACAACGTGTCCTCCGCTCCGGGCCTGTAACTTAGGGACTTGGGAAGGGAACAGAACCGACCTGCAGAGAGACGAGAAAGCGAGGGCCCTCTTGAGCTGAGAAGCAAAGCTGAACTTCGAGGCGTTGGCTTCGCCCCGTCGCTGCGATCCATGTTGCTAGGGACCACCAAAAGGCCCCAGGCAACCAACTGCGATGCGGTTTCAACGGCTCCCTGAAACTTTCTGTTCGGTGATTTCCTCTGGAAGGAACCAAGGAGACGGCCGCCAGCAAGAACAAGGCGAAGGGCAGAACGTCCTGGGAAGCAATCCAAGGCAGTCGAAAGCCTGTTTCCACAGACTGCTGCTGGGGCAAAGGCATCTTGCGTGACCTCGCCGAAACCATCCTTTGGCAGAGGGACCGCCAGGCCCAGAGCCTGAGAGTCGGTAAAGTTGTCGGAGAGACGGTCGCGATCAAGCAAGGATAACTACAGCTTCTGCTTCAAGATGCGGTTTGAAGCCGCCTTGGCACCCTCCTCCGTGGTAGGATCGTAGACCTCAAAGCGACAGAGCGACAGTACTGCTCGCGGGCCACAGCTGCGGTTCTCCAGCCTCGTCACTCCCTGTAGACACGACTCTCCAGACAGTGCTGAAGAATTGCCCCAGGTTCGGCATCTGGCGAAGGGCACCAAAAGCGCCATGGGCGGCCATGGGCAGCAGCTCACTCTGCTCACCGCCTCGAAAGCATGTGCTGCCGGAGCGGCTGCACCCAAGCCCAGCAAAGCTCCGGAGGCTCCAGCCGCCTCAACAGTGGAACGGACTTCGCGCTTTTAAAGGAGAAAAGACGTTTGAGAGGCACCGGCCCCGTTCACGGCCTTTTGTCTGGGTGGAGACAGAAACACTTCTGTGCAGCCATCAATGGCCTGCAGAGGAAAAGGAGCACAGCCAGGCAAGTGCTCCCTCTTGCTTTGGCTGAGTGGCTCTGTAAAGGATCACCGCGAGCACCGCGACGGCACACCACGCCGGACACGCCGGGCGCGCCTCGCTCGAGAAGCTTCGGAGAATTCGGGCATTGAGAACGGTTGCTAAGCATGGCACACGAGACCAGGCCATGACAACCACAAATTGAAGGCAGGGAACGTGGTGTTGTGGGTGCAACTGCAAGAGTGTGGGACTGCAAACTGTGATCAAGCGAGATGGCCTCTGCTAAAGCCACCACATCGACTGCTATTGTCTAGTTGCAAGACACATTGACAGCTCACTTATAAGCAGCCGCAGCAGATTCCTCGGAGGTTTGAATGCTGGCTAGCCACTGCTTCAGAACGCGGAAGACTCGGATCAGAATGCAAGCGACGACGCATCGGACTTTGTCATGCATCCTCTTCAAGCTCCCTAAGGGAGTTCAAGGCAGGGGTGAGACAACGGCTGCTCAAAAGCCCAGGAAGCGGCCGTCTGCACCCCTGCCGAGAAGAAGCAAAGTCTTTAAAGCCTCTGACAGCTCGCAGCTGGCCTCACGTGGTCGCCGGCCGCTCTGCAGGTCTTCGCAGCCCCTGGTCACCAGCGCTTCGACTGAACATGACCCCAAAAACGCTTCCTCAAAGAACGCTCAAAGACTTGCTGAGAGCCGGGCACGTGGAGGGCGCAGCCCGCGTGACCCTCTGACCTGACAAGATTCGAAGCCTGTTCCAATTACGCAGAGCTTAGAGGAGCCGACGGGCTTCGTCTTTTCTCGGTGCTCAAAAAGCGAAGGTGAAACGAAGTGCTTCCGCCATCACGCAGAAGGCCAATCCAAGCGACCCCAGCGAGACACGCGGGGTGCCAGCGCACAGCCTCCGCGCGCTTCCAGAATGCCAAGATGTAAGGCAGCTCGCTATCCTTGATATGAGCGAACGCTAAACACGGCCTCCTTGTCCTCTGCCGGTCTCGATGCTTTGTCGGGCCTCATCTGGCTGTTCAGGGCAGACGGTCACCGCCGGTTTCCGCCGGTGGAACGTGCCTTTTCCCGCAACTTTTCGCTGCCGAACGCAAATACCTGGCGAGGCATCGAGCATTGTGAGCTTGGAGTGCTAGAAGATGCGACAAGGCATCGGCTCGGGCCACGAACTCGGACTCGCTGTCCGACCTGAACTGAGTGACAGCTTCGGCTTCTCTGCTCCGTCGGAGAATGTTTTTTTTAGGACTCTGCTCCAGTGGTATCGGGGGTGGCGGCGTTGTGCGTTCCGTCGTCAGCACGCTGATCTCCTTCGAGAGACAGGGTAGATCCATAGGTTGGACAGTCTTTTTGCATGCCCTCTTCGACTTCAGCAGACATGGGAGTATGTATGCTCCATCGTCTGGCGCTGTCGCTTTTCACCCTGCGACCAGATGAGAGAGAAAGGGAGAGGGCCAACAGCTCACGAGGTTTCTGTCAACAACCGCATGATGTAGACATTTGCCGAGTCATGTTCAGACCAGCGAAGTTGGCATCCGGCAAACGAAGGGCGGCCCTTTTTTGGGCTGGCCGTAACTTGTAAATGCTACCATTGCGACATGTGATAATAGCTTGGCAAGTGCTGCTGAGTCTGCGCGATAACTTTTGCATGCAGAACATCACCCTTACCGCCCCTTATACCTCTAGGACCCTTCTCTGCAAAAATCTCCCTCCGGCCTGGGCCCTGAAGCTTCCCGTGCTCTGGGCTTCAGCCGCTTCGTCTTCGGCCGCAGTCGTCACCGTGGCCCTTGCTGCAGCACCTCCGCCGCCCTCTGGAGCTCTTCGAGCTGCACCTCCCCGACGGCCGCCTTTGGGCCGCCAAGAGACCAGCAAAAGCTCCGTCACAGAGGCGTGCTCCTCGCCCCAAAGCCAAAGCCCCCAACCAAAAACCGACGCCGATGCACAGGAAAATGGCTCCTTGTTTTCAGATTCGGCCAAAGCGTGGATCTGCGCCTGGAGCGTCTCGCTCCAGCCTGGGTCTCTACATACCCAATTTTCGGCGGGGATCCGTGCCTGAAATTCGCCCAGCAGCTGTTGAGGGTGTGGCCAGTACCTGGAGCTTCACTCGGCGGACAGCCAAGCTGTTTCTCTGGTTGAGGGCAGCCGCGGCGCACTCCAGATTTCCAGACGGCGCACCTTTACAAGGAAGCGGAATTTCCAAACCTTGCCTGCCTCGGGAGTCACCCATGGCCTGCGGTGGCAGTGAGCGGAGCAGGAAGTGGGCCTCAAACAGTGCGCATGAATAGATCTGATGTTCATTGTATATAGCATAGAGTACATAGTGCATCTATGTACATACATACATGCATACCTACATAGATAATTACATATATACATACATGCATACATATTCATATTTTTGTCCATATATACACACACGCACAGGGGTTCTAACACTACACTGAAGCACATTGCGAAGCATGCAGAAATCCCTTGCATGATTCCTTCATTAGATGCAAGGAACGGGCTGCGGCCGCTCATCGGACCTCTAACATACACTCTATATATATATATGTATATATATATGTATATATATATATATGTATATATATATATGTATATATATATATACACACCCATCCAGTCATTCATCATCCATCATCCATCCATACATGTATGCATACATGCTTATGTGCACTGACATACTCACGCACATACACACAGACTAATGCAGATACGTACATGCATGCACACACACAAGCACACAAAAACACAAGAAAAACACACACACACACCCACCCACCCACACCCGTCGTATCTCGCATCGTGTCGGATCTGTCTATCTCATGCGGCACACGAATGGGCGTCGAGAGAAGTGTCCAAAGGCTTCAAGGGGAGATTGAAAGCGCACTTCGCTCGGTTTCGTGTCGCCTTGCAGACTCGGAGCCGCTCGAGGCCGCAGCGGCCATGGTTCCTGGCGGAACTTGGGAACTAACAGGGCAAATGGACCTAAGCATAAATCAGCATGCATGCATGCATGCATGCATGCATGCATGCATACATACATAGATACATAGATACATAGATACATAGATACATACATACATACATACATACATACCTAAATACATATATATGTCTATGTGCTTATGTATGTATGCAAGAATGTATGTATGTCTGTATGTATGTGCTTGAATCTTGAATCTTGGATCCGAGTCGTATTGAACTCAATACGTGTTGAATACGCTTGAATGCACCTTGTTGTCTTGAAATCGCTCTTTTTCGAGGGTCAAGGTCATCGTTTGTGCTCCGCAGATATCGTGCTATTCATAAAGGAAGTTTTGGCACAGCTGTGCTTTTTGGGTTGTTGCTTTGTTGCTCTTGTGACTATTAGTGTCGCAGTTGATGCAACATATCCATCATGTCTGACTCTTTCAGTATACACTTCTCTTATCAGTATCAGACTTGTCATACAATGCGCTGCAAACGAGTGTAGTTAAACCCTTGGCTTGTTTCAGACCGGTGGCGTTCTACAACTAGGCAAATCACATTTAATCTTAACAGAGTCAGAGAATTCCACTAAGCAGTTGACAAGTCTTTCTACTTAGCGAAATTCAGTTGGTCTAACCTTTAGTTCGATGATGCAGCGGATTGAATGGATTCAGGACGAAGTTGCAGTTGGGCACACATGCCTACTGATGTGATGTGATTACCTATGCGTGTAAGAAGCTTGCATATTGCCAGACAAGTCTTGATGGAATTCAAACACTTGTCCTGTACAACACTTTGTTCGATGATTGTTGTATGATGCAGGGAGCTTTACTCCATGTTCTTTTTCAAGACCGTACTTCGGGAAAACTAGTTGTACGGAAAATTTCTATGCTGGCTTAAATTACACTGTACACACGTCGAAAGAAAACTACAAGATGCGTAGTTATGTTGCTTTATGTTTGCTGGGGGGATCTTTAATCGTTTTGGCTGCAGATTTGCAATGGGTTCAACTGGTGCTTAAAGTCAAGAGCCCTACTCCGTACAGTATCAACAATCCACAACGAAATTCTGACAGGCATGATGGCTTAATTGTCATCAAGTACTATGTGCAAAATCTCCAAAGCGATTTTGCAGAAAAAGGGCAACAAATCCTAGTTCGATAGAATGGACATGACCTGAATGATGCACGGACTTAAGATGAACGGAACCCCAAATGATCATGTAATTCTCAAACAGTTAAAGCCAAAAAGCAAGACACAACCACATCGATTCATAAGTGCCGAAACAGTGTGACCAAGAGGAATGTACAGTTTATTAAGCAAGCAATGCGCATGTTGTCTTCTCGTTGATAATCACCAGTAACAGTCCTCTCTCAGCAGGTTAACAAGAAAGTATTAACTGATCATGCCATCATTCTACTAGGAGTGTTTGTCTGTGTGTGTGCTGGTAGGCATTGCAGCAGGTGCAAATAGTCCATCAATAACAGCTGCTAGGTTTAATCTACAAGAATGTGGATAAGTATAGGACTCAGCAATTAATACATGTACTGTATAATGTCAGGCTGCCTAGTATTAAATAGTGTGCATCACAGCTGCTGAACACTATTCTACTATATCACTGTGAAACTACACTTCATACGATGAATTTGTCATGGTCGAACATATTAGAAGTCTAGGTATGACCGATAATAATGGAAGTGGTGCTCGGCGAGGTTTGTAGGGGCATGACGACTAAAGCAAACTATCGCACACATTCAAACGCAAAGCTTGGATACATGAGGGGCGGATACATATGAACATTATGTATATATATATATACATACATACATATGCATGCACCCGTGTGTACACACATATTTATGTACGTATGTGTACATACATGTGTATATTGCTTATAAGGATATATACATGCGCCGCGCACACACACAAAGACACACATCTATGTCTTCATATGCAGTGGAGTTTTTCGCTACAGGAGAGCATTTGCAGAGAGGGAGAGGTCTGCTCGCCTGGCCTTGTACTCTGAAGCACGTGCTGGCGCCAGCCGTAGAGTTCGTCCGGTACCTAAGATACCAGTACCGGAAGTAGGGTTCAGGCTTCAGCACGCACTCTTGTTGCTGCGCGATAGAAGTGAGACATCCGGAAGAGAGAGAAGTTGAGTTGCGCCCCACCTTGCCAATGCGGGCTCCGGACTCTGCCAGGCGCCTCTCAAAACATCGAGGCTGAAGAGACATCACTGTGCTTTCAAAGTCTTCGCAACCGGGCCGCATCCAGGTGTCGATGTCGATCGGCCAGCCGGGCAGATCTCGATAGCCCTGCAACTTCTGCCAGAGCAGTGACCTGCTTTCAGAGAAAGGACAATTCCAAGCCTTTTGTTGCAGACGCTTCCTTTCTTGCGGAGGATTTTTAGCGCGCCTTGGGTAAAGGCCTGACTGGTGCAAGCCAGGTATTTCCACGAAGCGATTCAGCATCAGCTCCTCTCGGATCTTAGAGGCTCTCATCAGTGCGAGAAGACTGAGAAACCTCTAGGAGGCCCTACACATCTAAGCGGGCTGTTTCTACTGGCCTCCGGCTCTAGGAGGCTGTTCTGCCACTGCACGTAGCGCGCCATGCCCTGTCCGGGGCTTACGAAGCATCACCTCGCATTTCTGACGAACAGCTCTTATGGCCTCGGAGACGGAGCCAAAGATGCGCACTGCACTGCAGGCTCCGTCCCAGTCAGGGTTCTTGTTGAGGGCTTCCAGAAGCCGCGCAAAGCGCTCCGGGTCCCCCCGGTCGTCTGCATCCATCAGGCCGATCAGAGGGGAGCTGGCAGCCTCCAGGCAAGCCTCGAAAAAAGAGGCGACGAGATGATGAGAACAGGGTGACATGCAAGGCCTTGCACGCGAGCACATGCAGGCAGAACCAGGCAAGTGACGTTCTGCGCTGCTCCTTGGCCGCGCCCGCCGCTGCTCCTCGGATCACTGAGAGTCATCACGCGGCGCTCTTCCAAAACGGTCTCAGTCAGGGCTCAGCACAACCAAACGATGTCCGGCGCTTTGGAGCTTGGCCGCGACCGCTGCAGGCGTTGGGGTGCTCCCATCCTCACCCGGCCACGGGACCTCAGCGCGTTCAACAAGCACCACACACTTTCGGGCCCAGTTTCAGCTTACCGGCCTGCTGGACAAAGCCCCGCTCCTCCGGTTGCTCCTCCTCTCGCTGCTCCTCCGCTCGCTCCGGCAGAAAAATCCTCTCCTCTGGCTGGCTCTCCTGGCTCTGCGGGCTCTGCGCTTCGAGGGCCTTGAGCCACTTCTCGGAGCCATCGCTGCTGCCGTCGTCACAGACGAGGATCTCCAGCGGGGTGCTGCTGGAAGCAAGATCATCCACGGCCCAAGGCAGAAAAGGCCATCCGTTCCGGCAAGGCATTATCACCGAAATCATCGCGCGACCGGGCCCCTCAAAAGCTACACGTGTAGGCCACGGACCATGGCTCGCACACCGGCCCTCGCCCACGCTACTACATTCGTCGTCTGCTGCCTCGCTGCGGGCCGTTTCCGTCAACGTGGCCGCTTCACTCAACTTCCCTTGTCCGGTAGAGCTGATGTGTCAGCTTTAGTCTCTCTTGGGATCAACTACGCTTCAAACGACTGAGCCCGCTGTTGGGAAACGTCGTCACGACATGCCCGTGCGGCAGGCAAGGCGACACAGCGGCTCAGCAGCTGCACCTGACATATATCCAGTCCACGGCAGAGCAGAGAACTTCGTTGCATCCGACCTGTCCAGTGCGTACTCCCTTTAAGGCTGCTTTGGGTACGTCCGCGGCTGCGGACTGCATTTGCCACACGATGCACTGTATAAGCTGTACACTGCACAACTACAGTTTTTTTACGGCGACGAGGCGAGCCGCAAAGCGGCACCAGCCCAGAAAACCGGAACTCCGAGCGACAAGAGCTGGCCTGGAGGTCATCCGGGACATCTCCGTGCGAAGCCTGTGCATGTGGGTAGTTCTCTAAATTCTCTAAATTAGGGTCCCTGTTTAGGTCCCCAATATAGTACGGCCACCCCCTATAAAAAGGACCCGAAAAGGGACCCTAATTTCGAGAACTACCCATGTCCAGGTCTGATGTCTGCTCGATCCATGGAGACATTTTCATGCGGTCTCGGTGGCAGGCATGGATGGCGGCTTTCCAGCACAGGATCGTCCGAGGAGCCCTGCCGTTGGGGGGATTCTGTAGAGAAAGGCCCAACCAGAAATGTCAGGCCTCTGTCCCGTTCTAGTGGGCTTGGAATCAAGGAAGGCACCTTCCTGTCGGAAGCTGAGTCGCTTAGCCACTTAATTAGTTCCGTTGCGCTGAGCACCAAACTCGAAGCTCCATTTCGGCTGAAGCGCCTAGGCCCCACGACCCAACCCGACTCCCCGGCAAGGCGTCGAGCACCGAAAATTAGCGCTTTGCATGGTCCAAACGAGAAAAGATGTACGATGGACGTGATGCGACTTCCAAGCGTTCCCCTTCCCAACCCGCCTTTTTTGCTGGGAAGCGTTGGAGTGGATTTCCAAGACACCTTGCCCACGCCCCTCTGCCCTTGAAAGGCTCTCCCGGATGGGTCCAAACTAACATGACGAGTCTTGTCACAGCCTGCCATCTATTCCGAGTACAGCTGGTTCCATCCCATGCCGCCGACTTTCGGGCAAAACTGTATGCCAATGCCTAAACCCTTTCAGGGCTGACCCCCAAAATAAAACATGAGGGGCTGGTTGGCGACCCTAGGGCTCGCCGGGCATCCCTCCTGACGCCTTCTCTGCGACTGGGCGGAGCTCCAAGCACTGGCCAAGCACTGGAACACATTAGAATGCAGTGTTCTTACACAGTGTTTGGACTGGCGGGGAAGGCGTCTAGGGTGTCAGAATGGAGAAGCCTCCAAACGAGCCTCATGAGCATCGCTGCATGCTTGTTGGGGCTAGCTCGGCCCCTAAGCGAGCATCGCGAGCATCAGCTGCACGTGTTTTCGGGCAAGGTCGGCTCCCAAGCGAGCATCATGAGCATCAGCTGCACGTGTTTTCGGGCAAGGTCGGCTCCCAAGCGAGCATCATGAGCGACAGCTGCACGTGTTTTCGGGCAAGGTCGGTTCCCAAGCAAACATCATGAGCATCAGCTGCACGTGTTTTCGGGCAAGGTCGGCTCCCAAGCAAACATCATGAGCATCAGCTGCACGTGTTTTTCGGCAAAGTCGGACGCCTGCTTCTTTGCATGAACCTTTCTCGTGGACAGAAGAAAAACTCACGTGGCTCCTGGCATGCGAGGGCAATTTTGGGGAGCGGCCGCTGCTTCGTCGCAACGTTCTCGATAAAACCGGATTACAGTGGCATGACTTGCAAGCATTGCACAAGGGGCGGAGAAACTTTACCTGTGGAGCAGCATGACATGGGGTGAAGGCCCATTTTCTTTTTCGGATCTGCCACGGATGGCAACCTCTGCGAAGGCAATGTAAGCGGCCGTGACCACGTACGCCGAGCAGTAGAAGGCATCGGCCTGCGCTAATGATCCACCAAAGCCCAGCATGCCCTGCACCACGCGCACGGCGGCAAACATCGGCCGCTGTGCTGCTACCCAAAGGCCCGAGGCAGCGTGCCTGGCGGAAAACCCAGTTTCGGTCAGGGGGAGGGCCCTGCATAGTTCTGACCATCTGTTGTCTGTTCGCACTTCAGACCGTGCTGACTATACAGTACGAAGACATCAAGGCTCGGACATACTCAGAGCCTCTTGAGACTTATGCGGTGTGAGTGACTCCAGGTTTCCGCAATGCACTCTGTGTGTGTTTGCTGACATGCAACTGTGTACATGCAACCGACAAACATGACGTACTCAAAAAAAGTAAGGGCCCATTTTGTTGCATCGATTTGGAAGTCCAACTGGGCCCAAAGAGTGCAGTGCTGGCCTCAAGGCCCAGCTCCCATGATCAGCTGCATGGGCAGTGCCACTTCGGAAGGTTTGAATGCCGGTGTACACAAACCAGGCTGCAATGACATACATGCCCCCCTGATTGAAGGGAGGCAGCCAAGTGGCAACACTCGTGCTCCAAGCATCTGCTGCATCGGCAAGACTTCCGCCCGTGGCAAAGTCCACTCTGTCAGCTGTCAGGTGGTTGGCATCAATCAGCAAGAAGCCTCTGTCGCGAAAGGAGGCTCACACCAAAAGGACAAAAAGGAGAGCGAGAGAGGGGAAGAGCAATCTTCGCTGCAAGCCAAGGGGCCTACCATGAGAACAGCAGCTGCGCTCAACATGAGCCTGCCAGCGTCTTCGTGCTTCTCGCCTAGCCAGGCCCGGCACTCTGGCACCAGTTGCAGAGGGGCCAGGAGACACCAAACCGCCCCGGGCACTGCATGCATCCATTCGAGGAGCGAGCCAAAGCGGTTGTACTTCAGGAGCAGACTTGAAGGACCCAAGTCAGAGAAGAACATTTCGAAGATGCTTCGCAGCCATCCGTCATACTGGACGGACGACCCCACCCATGCACTCCCAGGGAAGATGAAGACCCAGACAACCATGAAGACGCTGCTGAAGGTCAGAAGGTCTTGGAGGAGCGCTTCTCGGTTTGGCGAGGCGTCCCTGCTTAGCTCCTGCGCTCCTCGAGCGACGGATCTCGAGTCTTCTGAGCGTCTCCGAGAGAGGGCCAGGCCGGCAGCAGCAGCGACGAGAGCGTAGCGTCCCGTGGCCCTCACGGCCGCTGCCAGAGACGTTGGGGCGCTCTGAGGTCGGTGAACCTGGTCAGGGAAGCTTCGCTCTCCACTTCATGCAACTTCAAGGGGACTCTTTGAAAGTCACTTGCAGAGAAGGATGGGGCAAAAATGAGCGGAGCTTGTGGGGCCTTGGGGGGGGGGGGGGCGGAGCGGGAGCGCTGGCCTGGGCCCTCCCTCCCTCGCCTTGGGCTCCCAAAGCCGGCTGGGCCTGGCCGGCCTGGCGCTCCCAGGCATCGCTTGCAGCGCCATCTTCCGGTTTAGGGTTTATAGGACTAATTAATAGGGCTTATAGGGTTTAGGGTTTATAAATTAGAAACCCTAAACCCTAAATGCCCTAAATTTTCGCGTCTGGTTGAGGCTGGCTGAGCCCTGCTTCAAGGGATGAGAATGGCAGGACAGGTCAGGTCCTCCCAGGCAGACGGCACTCTCAGATCTGAGGCGACGGCTTCGACCTGGCTACCGGAACCTCTGAGTCAGGTCTTGGAGCGGGTAAAAGTCAGAATTTCGAAAGTTGAGTCCCCGGCTCGGAGGGAGGCCGAGGTCTGAACTGTCCTGCGGGAAAGGACTGCGCCCTGCCCGTGTTGCAAGTCTCGGCTGCTCTCAGCTGCATTCCTGCCACCTCAAAGAGAAATCGCTGCAGGACCGACTGGCACCCCCTAGGCGGGCGAACAAATGCTGGTGCCAAAGAAGGATTACCGGGCATCTTCGCTGAGCCTGCTGCGAGGTGCGTCAAGCACCTTCCCCTGGGGAGCATCCAAGTCTGGAAGTGAAAAAATCAGCTCAGGCCAGCGTAAGGAGTGTCCCTCTGACGGGGCAGCTTTCGATGCACATGGCGTGGCCTTGATAAGATGCACAGCACGGTTGATGTCAGCTCGATGAGCAGCTGACCTGGGACAGACTCGCTCAGAAGAAAAGCGTAGACCCAATGTCCGGAAGAAGAGGCACCGGCGTAACTGACACCTGGGAGAGTACATGCTTCTTTGACGGAATTTGGGTGTCAAGGCGTTGCACGACTTCACACCGTTTGTCGACGTGCGGCAGGAAGTACTCCAAGGGTCCATCGCTGCCATGACAAGCTCAGGCCCAGACACTCTCTGGCACATCCAGCCATGAGCCCTTTGTCAAATGGAGAGGGCTCCTGGCACAGTAGTTCCACGGCAGGATCATCTTCGAGAAATAGCGAGGCCCGTCCTGCGATAAATTGCCCGGGTCGTGTCGGACATTCCATCGCTCACAGGCATCATGGCGTCCAGCTCTTCTGCCACTTTGGGCAGAGAAGGCTTCGTGTGGGAGCTCTCAGACACTGGGGGTGGTGCAGCTCGAGGCTCTGTGCTTGAAGTCTGCGTTGGAACTTAGCTGACTCTGAGAAAGAAATTCCGTGGAAGAGCAGGCTCAGTTCACAGACACCCACGCTTCGCATTGCAAGGGCAGCGTCTCAGCTTTTTGCACTCGGCGCTAAGCTCTAGCTTTGACTCCGGGCAGCTCAACCTGCAGCAAATGATAAGGGAGCTCAGAGGTGTCTCGCGTTTTTTTGATCGGCTCTGGCCTGGTCCAGCAAGGGCAGGATCCTGGCGTCGGCGGAGGGTTTTGCGAACAAGCAGGAGCATCCCCGCATCGCCGAGGGCCAAAGCCCCACCGAGGCAGCGGCTCCGAGAAAGGTGGTCGCTTTTGCGGCGTCCCAGCCTGGTACTCGACCAAGCTTTTCGGCTACGGGCGCTCACTGCATGTGATTTCGGAGAGGATGAAACAGTGAACTAAGATGAGCATAAACCCACACTGACAGTGCTGCTGATGAACATGAAACTCGATACAAAGGCTAGCGAGAGGGGAGATAAAGCTGAATATGTGCAGGCTGATATTGATGATGATGACGACGATGATGATGATGGTGACGATGATGATGATGGTGACGAGGATGATGATGATGGTGACGATGATGATGAGGAGGGTGATAAGGATGCTGCTGCAGATCGCGACGATGACAACGGTGACGATGATGACGATGATGATGATGATGATGATGACGGAGACTAGGAGGAGATTACCACTCGCTGTCCACTCCCATGATGACGATGGTTATGATGATTGATGATGGCCGTGAGTGTGAATGTGCCTCTGTTCTTCACACATCTATGTGTCGATCGATCGATCTATCTATCTATCTAGATTACACATACAGACATATCTCGGTGTAGACAGCCAGGCAGACAGGCAGGCAGGCAGGCAGGCACACAAACAAACA